CGTTTGCACCTTTTAATAATGTGATCACTCATGGTTACAATTCAGTCACTAGAGCTACTACTACTAAAATTACATTCCATGTATTCAATTTTCGTGCTACTCAAACGAAGGCCTTTAGACTCCAATGTAGACCTCCATAATTCAAGTTTTTCCTTAGCTCTTTCTCTAGTCTTATCCCAGAAGGATATCACCAACAAAAAACATATATCAATGTACATTCTCCTGTAAATGTCCAGTAAGAGCTTCCATAACTAAAGCAAAAAGACATGGGCTTAAAGTGGATCCCTGATGTAATCCAACAGAAATAGAAAATTCTTTCAATCCTCTTGTTCTAACACAGCAACAATGCTAGTATACATATCTTTAATGACTTTGAAAATATGTCATATTAACACGTTTCTTCTCTCTAACTCTCTAAAGGATATCTCTTAAAATCTTATCGTAAGTTTTTTCTAAATCAATAAAAATCATATGTAGATCCTCCTAATTCTCTTTGTACTTCTACATCAAACCTCTCGATAAATGTATAACATCCATAGTAGACTTACCTGACATAAATCCAAGCTGATTTTGAGAAATCTTTGTAATACATATTAAGCAATGATCAATTACCCTCTCCTATAATTTTAAAGTATGACATATTAATTTAATTCCTCTATAATTTGCACACACTTGTGCATCCCCTTTATTCTTAAAAATGGGGATCAAAATGCTCTTCGTCCACTCCTCAAACATCTTTTTAGTTTTTAAAATGATATTAAAGAGTTTAGTAAGCCAAGAAACTCCAAAATCTCCTAAATATTTTCATACTTCAATTGGGATATCATCAGGTCCTTCAAACTTTCCACACTTGATTTACTTTAAAACCTGATCAACTTCTTATTTATTAATGTGATGGTAAAAATTAAACATTTTATTATTATTATTGATTTTAAGATCATTAAGGTCGATCGTATTTTCATAAGTTTCATTGAATAGTTTATCAAAATAAATCACCCATTTATGTTGAATATCTTTTTCTAAGAAAAATACTTTTTGATTTTCATCTTCAATACACTTTACTTGAGTTTAATTTTTTCTTTTATCTTTATTTAGCTAGTTTATACATATATTTTTCACCCACTTTACTATCTAATCTATTATATAGATCACTAAAAACAGAATTTTTAGCGCCAAAGATTGTTCTCTTAAACTTCCTACGAGATATTTTATATTTTTCTCAGATCTCTAAGCTTTTACATTTAAAACAATTTTTATAATATAGCTTTTTATATTATCTTTTCTTGCACATTATTATTTCACCACCAACTATTTTTATATATAGAAAATTTTCTTTTCGATTTTTTCAAGTACATCTTTTGCCACTTGCTTAATAATGATCATTACTTTATCCCACATATAATTTGTTTCTTCATGAACATCCCAAATCTTAAAATCTTGAAGTTTACTCATAAAAATAATTTTATTTGTCTTTTAGATGTCCTCATTTAATTCCATGATAATGATTCCTGATATTCTTTATTTTACAACTCTTTATCTTAAAATCCAGAACAAATAATAGATGTTGAGTATTTAAATTCTCACTTGGAATGACCTTACATTCTTTACATTCTCGACGATCCCTTTTTCTCAAAAGAAAAAAATTAATTTATATTTTATTAGATTCATTATTATAATTAATAATATGTTCATCTCTTTTCTTGAATAAAGTATTAACAATAATAAAATTATAAGTTAAAGTAAAATCTAATATGTCTATGTCTTCTTCATTAATCACACCAAAACCGTAGCCGCTACGATTATTTCTAAAATATTTTACCACTCTACCAACATGTCCATTTAAATCTCCTCTAATAAAAATTCTTTCTTCAAGAGATACCATTTGTATTAATTCTTCATTACAAAATTTTTCTTTAGAACCTATATTTAAGCCTACTTGAGAAGCATAAGCACTTATAATATTAATAATTTTAGTATCAAAAATAATCTTAAGAGCTATAATTTTATCTTCAATACTATTGAATTTTACAATATTTTCTTTCAAACTCTTATCTATAATTATACCTATACCATTCCTAATGCGATTCTTACCTTAATACCCAAGTTTAAAACATAAGCTATCAAAATCTTTAGTCTTTTCTCCAACCCATTTAGTGTCTTGTATACATAATAAATTTATCTTTTTATGAATCATAATATCAACTAATTCCATTAATTTATCTATTAGAATATCTATATTCCAAGATTCTATCCTAATTTTAATTTCATGGACTAAATTTTTTACTCGCATCGGCCCGTAATATAGGAACTCTTGCTTATTTGATAGTACACTCGGGCGACGGTGTAGCAACCATTGCACACTTTCATTGTATTCAGGTCATACATCACGTCCCTTCTAGGTGACGCCCTAACATTTACACAATGATAAAAAAAATTAATGCTATAAATTTTCGACAAATTTTATGTTATTTGTCGACTACCTAACACAACCATCTACTTTTCACATTTGGGGCTTAAGACCCAAAAATGATTGCGTTAATAAATTACATACATCATTCATATTAAATTTTTGATGTTCTAGGAACTCATAAGCTCTTTCTAAACATTCCAAAATGAGAGTTCATTGCTTCAAAAGTCCACTTTCTTGGCTTTAATATAACAACAACAAAAATTAAAATGGATCCACAAAAAGTTTCGGCCATTCAAGAATGGTCGATGCCAATCTCTCTGTTTAAAGTTCATATTTTTCACGAATAGATAATTTTTTTATCATCGATTTATATGTGGATTCAACATTCTTATGGCCCCGACGACAAAGTGCTTGAAGTTCAAAATTTTTAGTTTAGGCAGCAAGCAACAACAGAGCTTTGAAACCATCAAAGAAGTCATCATTACAGCTCCGGTATTGACTCTTCCAAACTTTGATAAACCATTCCAAGTTGATACTGATGCTTCAATGAATGGAATAGGGGCTATCCTAGCCCAAGAGGGTCATCCCATTGTATTATTCAACAAAAAACTCAGCTCTAGTAGACAAAAATGGATTGTTGAGTGGTCAATGCTCTTAAATAATGGGAGCACTGCATCATCAGGATTTTGTACTGTGTAGTGACCATCAAGCCTTACAGTTCCTCAATTCGTAAAAAATTGTGAATGACATGCTTATACGGTTATTTCTCCAAAAGTTCAGCGTTGTGTTGAAAAATAAGCCAGGTGCACAAAACCGCGTGTTAGTAGGAGAGTTGTCCTTCTCAACACTTTACAACTGCAGATGTTAGTAGGAGAGTTGTCCTTCTCAACGCTTTACAACTGAATTAGCGGTCTTTGAATCCATTAAAAACTGTATGCTGAAGACAATGACTTCACTTCCATCTGGAGAAAGTGCAATACTTCACACCAATTAAAGATTATTCTACTTGTCATGGTTATTTGTTTAAAGGGAACAAATTGTGTATTCTGGACACATATGAGTTTAACTTATCAAAGACTTTCGCACCGAAGGCTTAGAAGTTCACGTTGGATGTAACAAGACATTAGCTCAGCTTCTATAGACCCAATGTGAGGAGATTAGCTCCTATAAATTAATGGTCGGCCATGACAATAATGTTTTTTTTTTCTGGCCTATGTTGCAGAAAGATGTCTCCAGATTTATAGAAAAGTGTTATGTTTGTCAAAAATATAAAGGTACACAACAAAATATGGGTTGATATACGCCTCTTCCAGTTCCATATTCGATTTGGGGAGATCTTAATTGGACTTCATCTTGGATTTGCCAAAAAAAAAGATGTTGATTTGACCATGGTCATCATTGACTGATTTTGAAAAAGGACATATTTTGTGGCTTGTAAAAAACTTTGATACTATCAACACAGCTTGTATTTTTTTTTTTTCAGAAAATCGTTCGCCTACATGGAGTTCCCTGAAGTCTCACTTCTGACCGTGATGTCTAATTTTTTAGTTATTTTTAGAGGAAATTTTAGAAACACTTACGAACCACTCTCCAGCTCAGTTCGGCAAACCATCCATAAATAGATGGGCAAACCGAAGTTGTTAATAGTCTCCTTGGTAATATGCTCCACTGCCTTATGCAAGACCATTCAAAACAATGGGATAAGAATTTAGGACAAGTAGAATTTTCTTATAATTCAATGACTAACCGCTTTACCATAAAAGTCCCTTGAGTATTTTTTATATAAAAGTAGAATTTGCTTATAATTCAATGACTAACCGCTTTACCATAAAGTCCCTTAAGTATTGTTTATATAAAAGTACCCAATCACACGGTAGATGTTTTTGTACTACCTAAGTGAAATAGCCAAATTGCTGCCTCCATGGCTGAAGATGGTGGCCGTCTACTTCGAGAAGTTCAATCCAAATTAATCGATTACAATAATAACTACAAACAACATGTCGGCAATCACTGACATCATAAGGTTTTTGATCTCAATGAACTTGTTATGGTTAGAATGCGGAAGGAATGATTTGCACCTGGAACATGCTCCAAGCTGAGCCCCGAAAATTTGGACCTTCTTTGTAATTAAGCACATTAATGAAAGCCCCTACATCATAGATCTACCACTTGACCTGCTTATTTCTTCCACCTTCAACGTTTTATATTTGTATTCCTACCATCCTCCTGATGACGCTACTACACAAATTGATTCATGCATGCATGTATGTATGTATGTATGTATGTATGTATGTATGTATATATGTATGTATATATAGACATATATTTGCATATGTTGTTATTTTAGCACATGCGTGCACACACACACACACACAAGAAATAGACTGTAACGTTTGGTTACCATTTTCCTTGTTTCTTTCTTTTGTCTTTCCTAAAGCAATTACCACAACAAAATCACCACCAAGAAGAGAATTGACAAGGGTAACAAAGAAACCAGCAAATGTAGAAAAATGTCCAGTTATTCCTTTTCTTCTTTTTACAAACATATATAAACGGGTAGAGAATGCAGGAATACTGAAATAGTGTTTGTACTGTACAGCAATAAGCATTGCCTCTAATAAACTTGTCACTGCCCCAAATGCTTCTTGCTATTGATTTCTAGCAGTTTCAGGCGCAGGCAACTTTGGCAGGAGAGGCCTACTAAAGATTCTTGCTGCAATCGCAAAAAAAAAAAAAATAGCACTTGATAGAACTAATGGACTCTAACAGGCATTCTGAGTTCCGCTCGATCAAAAAAATAAAGCCATATATCAAACAAGTTATTCCTAGAGGGTTTCTATGCACATAACAACTCATCGCAACTCCAAGTAAATCAAACTATTTGTTCTCTTACCTGTTAATAATAAGTAGCAGTTATCTTGAAGCATAGGCGATCAATTTTCCCTTTTGTATGAAACACATCCCAACCCCTAGTGAGAGGCATCCCCTAAATTGCCAGTTCTATATAAAAAAATGAAGTCGTCAATTCAAGATGGTGGAGTAGGAGGGGAGATTAGGTATTGTTTTAATACATGGAAGCTTTTCACACATGCGTCTTACCATTGATATAAAGTCGGCATCCTTGATCGATCTGGCTCCTCCAACTTTATGCAGTTCAGGTTCTCCTACACAGTGTTGAGGCAGCATCTCCGAGAGGTCGACAAGTCAACGAAGTCTATGTTGGCTTCATCCACATTACGGAACTTGACCGTAAGTTGGTTGATAGAGATAGGACTATGGAATAGTTGCAGAGTCTTCGGATGGACCCCCAAAGAACCACAAAGTCCTCATGACGGGCGTTGAAGAACTTGCCATCCAGCGTAGTCTCCGCCAATGTGATTCTCTCCGATACACAGTGCTCGCCGGCGATCCGATGAGTTCGTCATCGAAATAACGGTGCAGCTCGACTAGAAGTAGCAAATGTAGCTCTGGTTTGATCTTTTTAATTCCCCACGGCCCATGGATGCCCTACAATTGTAATTGCCAAAAGTTCATGTCCATCTGAAACTATGATGATATTTATGAAAAAAATGTGTATTGAGTTTGGACGTTACTTAATATTTATTTTGTCCGTAAGATAAAGGACTTGATATTGGTGATGATTTTTTTTACTCATTTGCTCTGTTTGTATGTATCACATTTGTTGTTCAGACACAGTTTTATGTCCAGACTTCAGACGCAATATTTTTTCAATATTTATGATATAAACGTGTTCGCCGAAAGAAATGATTGGCTCCCTTATCCAAACAATATTCCAGCCATGTCAATATAGGGTGATATGATCAGATCATCACCATTATCTAAATGTACAATTCATTCATTATCATAATTTCTATTCATCGAACTAATGAAATAGATTGAATAAGTATAACATCAAATGAGACATTAAAAATAAATAAATATTCAATATTAATATTTTATAAACATATCGTTATTTTTAGTCTCTTCAATTACCATCTCATTCTAACACTAAATTGTTAGTGATCTAATGTATTTTCCAGGCATCATAGGAACCTTCTAGAAATGCATTTGAAAGCATTCAAGAGGTATACTTCAAGTGCTTATACAATTTTAGGGCAATTTACATACATAAAATGTAATTCATATATATTTGCATATCACTCGCCTAAACATTCATATTTACACAATAACAATCAAACCTTAAATAGCACATTTGATGTAAAACTATTAGCACTTTTTAAAGAGTTAAAATATTTATTTTCATGCATAAATTTAAAGCACTAAAATATTATATATGTAAATATAAAATTTTCTGAGTTATTTTTATTTATATGCGCTAGGCATAAATTTGTGCTAGGCATATAAAAAGTGTGCGCTAGGCATAAATTTCTCATAATTTTAAGAATAACATCATATAAAAATAATTTTATTTTAGTAGAAATCCCCTCAAATTCATATTTTTATTTATATGGAAGAATAATTTGATCTTTTGCCCATTTTAAATTATTAGTTTTGTCTCTCTTGAAATCACTCTGCTCAGGATCCACTCATGTTGGGTCCACGGGTAAAGTTTACCCCTCCTAAGAAAATGGACTGATTCCTCCCTGCTTCTTTATTGTAATACCCAAAATGCATGCACAATTTTGTAAATTTACGCTCAAACTGTCATTCATTGAAGTAGGCCACCAGTGGCATCACGCTCAATTACCTTATCCCAGATATTATAATTCTTGACCGTCGGATTAAAATCAACCGGCAATAAGCTATCAGAACAGATGTCCCGCCTCGTGAGAGTGGCACCTGACTTCTAATCCGTGCTCCAACAACCAGAATCCAAATTGGTCTTCTCTGTGTCAATTATTCATTTGTTTACGGAGAGAGGGGGAGAGAGGGGGAGAGGGCATCGGTGGTCGTTTCTTGCACCACCATGGACTTATTCCCAGTCTATTCTCAATAGAAATAGGGCATTTCTCTGCCTTCTTTTTGGATCTTCTTTGATCTAGGAATCTATAAAGCTCTCTCTTTTATTGATTGGAGTACGTTTTTCGTGGGTAGTCAAGCTTCTCTTCGCTTTCTTTGGTTTTTGAGGTAAAGTCTATGAGATTTTTAGGATTCTGGTTCCCGATCCAGTTGCTTAGGTTTTCTTTATAGTTGAAGAATAGTTTTTAATTCTTGTTTATTGCGATTAGTCTGACTGGGGTTCTACGTGGCACATGCCTTAGAACAAGGTTTTTGGTTGAGTATGTTTGCTAATACCGTTTTGTTTAAGATGTATGGTGAGGTTGTATTTGCATAAATTTTAACTGGGGAGTTTTCATGTTAGAAATTGCTTTTAGCAGTTGTTTTATGAAGATGCTGCTGCCTACACATTTTGGTGCTGGGAATAATGATACGATCATATTATTCTTTTTTTATTTGCGTTTTTCTACCATTTTTAAGTGATTCAAAAAATATGTAATGCAGATTTTTTTTTATTCTGTGTATGATATATGTTTCTCTACAGTGAGATTTCTTCTTTCTAGATTCTTTACAACTTAAGAAAAGCTAGCTGAGATTGACATTTAATGAATCTCATCTCATATTTTAGTTTGTTTTTTACAGTCATCATTGTTGCATAGTTTATGCAATTAGCTCTCAGATTCATTGTGATCTTCACATATATTTTTCACAAAAACTTAGTTTCTTATCTGCTCCAGTAATTGCACTGCGCCATGAAAACTTTGTTTTTTACATGCTGCACTACTTCAGATGATGATAAACTCTTGCTTGTTTCTTACACATTTTATTTATCAATCACTTATTTATTAGACTGTTGTAAAAGAATAACCCTTTCCATATTTTGATGAAAGAAAAGCAAGGCAAAGGAGATGAGTATTAGATTGGATACAGTTCTATGTATGCTGTGACTGAAGATCTAATCATCCCGACATCCATTGATTTATTTTTCCCCTATATTTAAAATCCCACTATAATCTTTGGCCTTCGCTCAGCAAACTTGTGTGCTGTATTTAAATGCAAAGCACAATACATTGATTACCAAATCAGCTCTCCATCTAAATCTTGTTTATTATTATTATTTTCTTAGGCTGTGTGGTTTTTCGGGTTTTGTTGGTGTCTTAACATGTATTATATTTAAATAATTTTTGTTTATGAAATCTAGTTTTATCAGAAGGTATTTGTCCACATCAGTGGAAATCAGAAGCCAGGAAAAAATGATTGATGCACGATGTTTATGAGCTTACAACTTTCAATCCTTCTACTAATCGACCTTCTATTAATGGACGGAAATGAAATTTTGGCATGATTAATGAAATTTAATTCATATTTGGCACTATTTCTATCGTGCAACTTGCTCGGTTACATTATATACACGTAAGCTTAGGAACATAACCAAGGTTTGGTTTTGATTGACATTTTTCAATTTGCAGGCACTCTTGTTTTCTGGGATTATTGGCATGCATATAATTATTGGTTTCAAAGAACGCCCAAGTTTTCTCCTATAGGTAGCTATTAATTTATATCAGAACAACATAAAATAGCTAAGACGGGTGCTCTTTGTTGTGTGGCCGCTGGGCCACATGAGGCAAAATCTAACTCAGTTGGTCGGGGATTTTCTATGGATCGTAGTGAACCCCATTGGCGAGTTAACTCAAGCTTCTCACCTCCGTCATCAAGGAGATGGGATTGCAGGGATCAGCCAGATGGATTATCCCAGGAGATTCCAGCTGCTCCTTTATATGGATCATCACTATCTTCTCATAGCAAAGGAAGTCGAAGTGTAATGAGCGGTGATCAATATGGAAATCATCATCATTCAGTGTCTGATGGAGCACTTTCTTACTTTGAGAGCCCTTCGAACAATTTACAAGCTTCTAGATGGACTCCACCTGTGCAAAGATATGATCTTGGTGAATTTTCTACTCCTACCAGAGGTATTTATCTGTCAATTATTTCCTATCAATTCTTTATGTTATGGGAAAGCTAGTTTTGATTGTCTATAAATGATAAGAGAATTTTGCACAGAATTATGCTTGATATATATATCCGTCATATTTGCTATAAGGTTGACGTTTTGGCAAGCCAAATTGGTTGTGATTTTCTAGGTTGAAGGTCTCAATAAAAATCTGGACATGCTATTTTGAGTTCTTATTTAATGCAGATTTTATGGTCGGAAGATTCATGGAGGCAATTTTTTTTTGAAGCTGGTCATGAAAAAAAAAAATGGAATTTCTAATGGAACTTCGTGTAGTCCACATTGATCTTGATGCATATGATTGAGTCTCACAAAAGTTGTTCTGGTGAGTATTGAGGAGAAGATAATTATGTTAAAGATATGTTCAAAATTATTTGCAATTAAAACTTCTATTATTAAAAATAGTTTTGAATTGATCAAAGTGCTTCCAATCTAGGCAGGATCAAATATAGGACGAGCTTCTTTTTTATTTTCTTGTATTGGTTATGTAACCAGACATATCTAGTTAGGTAGCTTGTATTATATTATTTTTAAATGGTAAGTTGTTAATATGTAGGAAATTTTTAAATAACAGTGAAATTTTAAAATTTAAATGAGTAGATATGTAATTAATGTCTGATTGATATTTCTTCTTTTACGTTGATGAAATTCATTTGATAGTTATTAGTGATATTTTTAAGTTTACTGTTTTTATTATTACAAATTAATAAAGATCAACGAGAACATAATTTTATCAAAAAAATCTTGGTTATTGAAATGAAATAAAAGCTTAATGTGTGTCATGCGACGAGGGAATATCATTGAGATTTAAAGGTGAATTTAGAAAAGCAAACTTTAATTGACAATGCCAGATGAATGCTAGTGTTGTGTGCAATAGAAGTAGATGCTTGTCAATTAGTTTTAATGGAGTTTGTGCTAAAGCTAGAAAGAATAGTATGTGAAATAATTATATTAAAGAGATAGCGAGAATGACAGTTAGTTTAAAAAAGGTGAGTTGAAAATAGAATTGTGGAATTCGCATTAATAATTAACATTAAATTCATTTTTGTTAAATTGGTTAAGCAAAAGCTTATGAAGGATATTCAAAGGAAGACATGTGCCATTTTAATTTTAAATTGGTAGGCTTCTTAATTAATTGAAAATTAGGATTATGGTGAAATTGTTCAGAAGATAAACACCATAAGGTTAATATTTGAAGGATTGATAACATGATAAGTAATCTAAGTGGCTATGAAATAGATAAATACTAGCAATAATTAATTGAAAACTAGGATTATGGTGAAATTGTTCAGAAGATAAACACCATAAGGTTAATATTTGAAGGATTGATAACATAATAATTTAAGTGGCAATGAAATAGATAAATACTAGCAATAACAGCGGAAGCCGATGTTATATTTAGGTGTGATGTCGTGGACAATATTATTGAAAGTTATGGGGATGCAAAGTAAGACATAATTTTGGGAGTTGCACCTGAGGGTTGAAATGGAAGAAGTGGCTTAAATCTTATGAAAAGTGAGAATATCTCTGAGACTGGTAAATTTAATAAATTTTATTTTGATCATCAATGTTGCATATTTTCATTCCTTTTAGTAATCATGAAGTTGTTGACAATCAAGTTGAGTGGAATAAGCCAAAATTTGTTAAGTTGCCATGGTAAAAGCGGGGTGTTAGAGTTAGAAATGATTATATTTCTTGGAATTTATGATGATATTGTGTTGTGATAATAGAATTAGAAATGGAGGAGGAAGTTGTGGAAACTAGTTAGGCTATGTCTGTTACCTACGTAATGCTGTTGTGTTGCATAAAGTTAAATCATCATATTCTCACATATAAATATTAGTTTCCTGATAATTTGGCCCACAAGCCATGAACTCAGAGAATGTACACTTGCAATATAATGAATTTCTAAAAATATTTCGTATGTAAATAAAACTTTCTTTTGGAAAGTTGAGCAGGGGGAGGTAAACCAAATAAAATCTTAGGCTGCTTGGACATATGAAATGGAGGCAAAGGTTAAATTAATAGGCGAGTAATTGGCATTAGCAACAAAACGAATAGTAAGGAAATAAGTATGCTAGAAGTACCATATTAAAAAATTGTGCAAAGATTTGCACATTATAAACATGCTTATCACTTCATAGAAATGGATGGAGAGGATTCACAAAGCTAACCCAAATAGTTAAGATAATGATAATGATAATGATAATGATAATGTTGTTGATGAGTATATACCTAAACTCTTGACAAAATTTAATGTGTTTTTATCATTTTGGGATACAAAATGGAAATTATTTTGTAGGTGACTTATGCATTGCTTGATTTGAGATGATGCAGCTCATCTTACGTTTTAGGGTTTCCTATTGTATAATATGCTATACATAACTCCATATACAATCCCAAATTCACAGTTCACAAACTTTCAGTTTAAAACAAATATTGTTCTCATTTGGCTAAAGTAGATGTAGCCACAATTTCAGTAAATGAAAATATTATGATCACTTGATAACAATCTTACATAGAAATTCAGGTTTAAAAATTATCACAAGTCAATCTGAAATCACGTCATCCAGAAAGTCTAAATTCTACAAAATTTAACCAAACTAACATATGTGGACCGATAACCAAAATATCAAATAGAAAACTAAGGAAAGAAATTTAAAAAAACTATTAATCCAACCTTATGCTGATTTAGATAATTTTCCCCATAAATTGTGCATTATGCTCGAAAGATTGGCATCCAACCAACGCTGAAGCACAATGAGAAAACATATACTCAAATAAAATATCATAAAAAAATTGATCTTTATATGACTATGGTATTCCACAATTATAATGATAGAATCCTTTCTCAAATATCATAAATATTTGAATAACCAATAGTTCTGAAACTTAATAATCATTGGAACCACCCCATTACCATTTATTGTTTAGACAATTAACTATATAGTAGTTGGTACATAATATTCGGATGGTTAATAGGAGGAACAAAAAACTTCCAGACCACCAGTCAATCATCGAATATCCCATTTCAATTAATGGCCCAATAAGAACCGTCGGCCCAACAAAGTTTCTAGTTTAACTGTAACTTGCAAACCCGCCGTGCATGAAATTGGTCTTCGTGGTATAATCTAAATAACATTTTGCAACCATTCTATGTAGCTAGGAAGAGAGATGTTTGATGGATTGAGCATTTTGATATTTATTCCAATAAGTTGGGCATAATTATTGTGTTTCTTTTGGTGTCCACTATCAGTCATTATTTTATCACATAACATTGATTCTTGAACATGATGGATAGGATTGTTTGGTAAAGTGTTGCATGTGAATTTGTGGGAAGATGGAAAGAGGGAAGAACCTAAAGCATTGGATCCTGAAGAGTTGTTGGCAGTTCATGAAATAAAATGAAAATTAATCCTGTATTAAAGACTCGACTGATATTAGAATTTGGAATTTTCAACTATAAGCTATTATGTCGGTGTGTTGCATGATTTTATAAGATCACGTTTTCGTAATAGTTAATTTCTTATAAAACCTTCCAAGTTTATATGTATTATTTATTTATCAATTGATTTAAATTCCACATGTCTCCTGTTGATATGAACAATATACTTATTGTTATCATTATAAACAGTCAATTTCGGCAAATAATTTAATGCAATTCAATCAAGTGCTAATATGTTACGAGGCAAGTACTAGAAATAGCTAAAATACTTCTATAATTTTTAAAGAATACTAATGCATGCATTATAATTAATTCTTGAAGGAAAAATATGATTAAAAAATTGTGAAATAGAAACCACACAAATTTGTTATGCTTATATGGACATGCAACCTCTTTTAAAAAATTTAACCCAAATGGTTTAAATAGTAGCCTGGATGAATTCCATGATTTTAGATTTGGCCAAATAAAATGAGTTTTAAATTTTCAATTTCTCTTAAGTTAATCATCTTAATAAACCTTTTGAAATGCAAACACACTCTAACTCTCTCTATGATATTTAGTTTTATGTATTTTTATATCAATAAACCAAGAACAAAAAGTCTATCAATTTGATGTGTATGAATAATCTTTTTAAATACTTTGCCATGAGTTATGTAATCCGTTGCTAAATTGATTCATCAACTATTATGGATACAATTTATTGTGCCAATTTCAAGGATAGATTTATTCTTTATTACTAACTTAGGGTTTCATATACTCTCATTCTTAATTTTAAACTCAAACTTATTGTTGACCTCATTTTGAGGTCGTTATTCTTTTCATTAGGATCCTAGGATCTAGTTCTAGGGGTTTTTATTGACTATCCTAGAAAACTAGTATTGGAATCCATCCCTTTAGAAATTTCAGTCACTTCTTATTTCTCTTGTGATGGCATTGATTCTCGCATTGATGATCTCAAAACTATCGTCGTATGGTCGAGTGGTTAAGGACTATCATATGGGGACTCAATGAGAAAGTTCCCAATAGGATCTCAAGCCCTAGGAAAATTTCTCTAGGACTTTATCATCACACACACACAAAATACACAAAATTCACTAAGTTGCACAAGATCAGACTAAAGTTGAACCTAAAGGATGGGCGAAAATACGAACTTCTCCGGACGACCTACGATGAAGAAATGGACTGCGCCAAACGCGTCTGAGACATCAATTTTAGCTAGAAAAGACACTCATATTGCTATACTTTCCGGACACAAGAAAATTGTACGCAAATCGATGAATTCTTCAAAATGACCTCCGACGACAAAATGGACTATTACAACGCGTCTGTAACGAAGAATTACCTAAAAAAGACATTCATTTTGTTATGTTGTGATGCACAAATAAAATGTACAAATTAAATTTATATTTTTGAAATATCAAAACTTTTATATTTATATTATTACTTATAATATTAAAATTATAATCCTAAACCCTATTTACCCCCTTACCCACATATTTATCCCTCCCCCTCTC